TTGACTCACACAAGTGATCTCATATAACCATTACATCCCAAGGAATGGGGAAAATCAAATGGAAGAGCATGACAGCCTGCACTGGACTAATGAGTCTGCTGAATTTACCTGGTCCATCAGTGTTTTTCCAGGGTTTAAAGTGCATCCTTCTGCAATAGTTGCATCTGTGAATAAATGATCTTAGAGCAATGTAGAGGCGACTTCCCATGGGTTACTCAGGTAATTAAAGTTAAGCATGCTCTGACAGGATGCAGGGAGTCAGGTTTGACCCTTGATCCCCTGGAAGTTTCATGTTTTACTAGATCTGAGGAATACAGAGCCGCAATTTTCTCCACCAAGGAAGGAGGTGTCAATTTATTTAAAGGGCTGCTGCCAAATAGTTTAGTTCTCCCCACAAAACAGTTTGGGTAAAATACTGTGTTAAAAAGGAATGGGTAAGGGGATTATGAAACCTGCTATAAATTTCAATTAGTTCATGACATCTTTGACTTCAAAGGAAAAAAGCAATTTCCATTGTTTCTTGAAACAGATATTTCAACAATTCCTTAAATTTTGGGAAGCCAAAGAACAGTACTGAGCTAGAGCATTGGAAATGGAGAATGGATCTGAGCAGAACCTTAAACTAACGCTGATTGGCCAGATATAGTCAAGTCCGTGCATGGAACAAAGAACAAGCAAGAGCAATAACATTGAAAAGCAGATTAAAGGCTATAAATTCTTTCTGTTGTTATAGCCAGGAGTGAGTTAGTAAAACAGGGAGAGAAGAAGCGATTTTTTTTAATTGAGTTGATTTGTATCTTGACTGTGACTTTCATAACCATCTTGCAAAAGAGAAAGTTGAAACAAAGCTTAGCTCCTCCAACAGACACATCACGACAGACAGCAGCAGTGAAATACAGTGTGCCATGCCATTTTGCTCTTGTACACACAACTCATAAGATTTCTGGGGTCAGATCCTCACCTGACTCCACTGATTTGGCAGAACTTCAAGTTACGCCAGCTTAGGTTTGAATCCTATATTGTTTTGTTCTGTACAGTCATTTCTAAGGGAGTGAGAGTTAGCATGAAGATGGAGTCAGTAGAGAGGATTACAGCATCAGCAGATGACTCCAGAGTCCTGGGTTTGGGTCTTGCTTTGTCACAGACTTCCTGGACAACTCCAGGTGAGTTACTTAGCCGCTGTCTGCCTCCATTCCTATCTGCAAAACAAGGATAACAGGACTGCCTTACCTTCCAGATAATGCATTTAAGACTGTGAGGCACTGGAGACTAAGTAGCTGAGACAGATTCTGGGCAAAGGCGAGGGACTGAGCCACGTTGCCAAGACTGTGTACAGGACTGCATTCAGTAGGCAGGCACAATGGGAATGTGCCATCCAGAAATTCCCTTCTTTGTTTACTGTGAAGAAAAGAAACCCTGAATGCAGCTCTCTTGAACTCCAGGAAACCAGCAACGATAAACAAGCAGCTTATCTCTCCTGCAAACCCCCCATCGCCAGCAGAGAGGGCAATAAAAGGCAAGATGAGTCTCCGTAGGAACCCAAAGCTGTGAATCTTCCTCTCGCTCTGTCTGGCCAAAATCCCTTCATTCACTGGGGGAATTTAGGCCAGAGATCACCAATTCCATCTCCCCGCCAGAGTAACAGAGAGGAGGGTTAGAAAGGAAGAGAAACAGCCATAACTCAGAGAGTGCAGAGGGAGAGCACAGAGCAGAAACAGGGGAAGATGTTTAGCTGTGCCCTGGGCTGCAGCTACATCCCTGCCTTGCTGGTCCTCAAAACTTTCCCTCATGTGATTCTGGGTGGTATCTCCTGTTGCCTGTGGGTGTCCTTTGGAAACAGGAAGGAAGGAGCCTGGAATAGAAAAAGGAGAAGGTCTCCACTTGGGAAAAGTCACAGCCCCATTAAATTTCAGATTCAATTCCTGGGTGATTTCCATAGCAATAAGACATCAACAAATACTTCAGGGTTTCTCTAAAACAAGCTTTCCAAGAGAACGAGACAAGCCAGAGCGTCACAGCTCCACAGCAGTTTGGACTGATACCTCTGTTACGACAGGGTTTGGGGGGCCAGTAGAGAGGGGCCTGTCCTCCTTAGATAATGTGCTGACCTCAACGTATAAGGATGCTGGAGGAGGGAGACAGATAGATTTATATCTTGTCTGAACTGAGAATCCACTACTTGGGCAGCTTCACAGGTGGTAGTAATGGTGTGATGTACTCAGAATTCAGGGGCCTCTACTCAGAGCAGAGTCAGACACCACGTTCCTGATGAATATTTTTAAGTGCTATTCTCAAGTGGAGCTGTGCTGGAGCTGAATTTTGTCTGTGCAGTTTCTTGGTATAGACACAGCAATAGAGAGAAAGATACAGAGGAGAAAGAATGTGATAGAGACGCACACAAACCCATCCACTGACTAAGAGGTGCTGCCTCCGGAAGGTGTGAAGAATTTTTCTTTATAAGCCCTGATGTGTTCAAGAGTGGGCTAGGCTCATCTCCACTGCGAGTCTGACAGGGGCTTTAACAGCCTCAAAACACTGGGACAAATAGATTCTGGTCCCTTAACCCTTCTCAGCTTTGCAAGGCAAGGCCTGGCACTGTTGTTCCCGTAGCAAGGGCTTTAGTCAGTCTTTCAGGCTGAAATCCTCTCTGTGGTGGCTGGGCAGAGAGGAAATCCAGGGGCTGGATCAGATTGGCCTAATACTAGAGCAGCTTAAGCAGTCTGTTTTACCAGAGATTATGGTTTCACTTACACAGAGCGCCTGAAAAATGCTGTGGTTTAAGAAGGGATTAGAGCTGAAAATTCAATGCTTTAAAAGAGAAATAAAGCAGGGGAGGGACTGGGAAACCCAGTGTGCCCGAGGGCTGTGCAAACAGGATTAACCTCTGCCCACGCCACCCCTCACTCCTGCCCACCCACGATTCCCTCTGTCCATGCTCCTCTCTGCCCCCGCTTCCTGTGTGCCCCCAGGCCCCCCCCACCCCGGTAACTGCCCTGTGGTGCATTAGGCAGGTAGAATATGGAAACCTGAATATGAGACAAGCCTGTCCCACAGTAGTGAAAGTACCCTGGCTTGGAAATGCAGCTTCTGCCCAGTTATGTGCGATCCCACTGAGGTGAGGAGCACTGCCCCACCTCAATACCACAGAAATTCAGGACAGCGTGTAGTCTATGAAATGCAGACAGCTCTGTAATGCTGCACATGCTGTTTCTGTGGTATTGGCAGTCAGGAGGGTGGAGGACTCCAGGACTCTCATGCAGGTCTGTGCACCTGCCCATCTGGCCAACAGCAAGGTGGCAGTGTATTCTTCTAGCGTGACAGCAGCAGAGCCAGGAGAAAAGTATTTTGGCTGCATCACTGAGTCCTTGGGGATTCTCTCCTGCACAGAACCAATAAAGCTGACCATCCCACCCAGGGACTGGGACCAGCCTACAGCATCTCACCGCAGTATACTGCAGAAATGGGGTCATGGGATAAAGATTACACTGGTGATTCCAAGTGACTGTACACCTTCCCCTCTGTTCCTTTCTCTCCAGAGTAATTCCTTTACCAAGCAGAGCCATCAAGCTCACCAGAGACATAATCAGAGACTCAGCTGTGGTGGTGTTGGGTGGCAGAAGGGTAGACAACTACCAGGTTATATGCAGGGCATGATGTGACACAAGTACCAACTGGCCACATTTGACATTTTGCAGTTGAAAATGCTATTAGTGCAGGTCCTTGGCACAGGAATCTTTGGTGGCCATCAAGTCCTAGATCCTTCTTAGGAGAACATAGACAACCAAGGCAGCAACCTTTAGGAAGCAAATGTATGAGTGGCAGACGTGCTCTGTAAGATGTCCTTACGGAGTGCTCACAATAAGCAGACCTCAAGGATAGAAGCCCTCCGTTACTCCACCACACAGGCAGACATTATCATCATCTAGCCTCAGTGGAAGCACTTGTAAATGATGAGGCCAGTCCTAAAAGACCTTCTTGTATATCACAGTCCTCTCTCATACAAACCAGGGTTGCCCAAGCTGACCCATCTTGTCAACACCTGCCACCCTGCTCCTAAGTTATACAAGCGTAGATGGTTTGCCATGCTGGATCTGAATTGGGTCTGATCACATCATCCAGCCTCCAATATTGCCAGCACAGACAACTGTGGGTGTATCATTATGCTCATATTTTAGGTCATTGAACTACGTGCGTCCTTGATGTAGACACCTCAGCAGTGGACCCAGAAAACTACAGCCTTGAAGCCTCATCTACAACTCTTGGGCATGTACGGTTGGAAAAAACAGAGGCTAAGATAGTGAAAATGAAGCCTTCTGGGTTCATAGGTTTTTGCCACTTTCTCTTCTTCTCCCCAAGCCAAGCTCCTTGGGAACTTGGTGCTGCCTGGGTATTCTCTGAGAGCTCTGATGGGCCGTGTGGCCTGGCTCTCTTGGGCTGTGCACTGAGACATCCTGCTCAGATGCTGCTTTATAGATGTGACCCATATTGCTCTCCCAGAAACTCTAGCTCATGTTTGAAATGACCAGAGTGGTGATTCCTCCAGGGGAAATGAGTTCACTGCCACAGTCCCATGCATCCAACTGAGTGAGATGATGAAGGAGCAGGAAGAAGAGCACAACAGCTGCAGAGCAACCTTCTCCCACCCCTGCCCACTGCGCTGCTTCCTGCCAGGCACCTGCCTCTCCCGCATGCCTCCTTTCTCAGCCCTCTCCCTCCTCCTCCCTTTTCCTCTCACACTTGCTGTGCTGCTCCCTCACCCCAGCAGAGGCATCACTACAATCAGTGGCTGGCCCATAGTATGTTTGCTGCTGCTGTCTTGGCCACAGCTCCTTTTAACTGCTCCGGACTTTTTTATTTTTTTTCATTTTTAAATTAATTTCCCTGTAGATTTTAACCACTCCATTTTCATTCATCCATTTTGTTCTCCCCCTCCCCCCACCCTCCTCTTTTCTCCCCCTGTTCCCTTTGTCTGTCTGTGTCCGCCCCTGACCCTACCACAGAAAACCTCTCCTCTCCCCTCAGTATAAAGCAAGAGCCTCATGGAGCCTCTCTCGCCCCTTTCACCCCCACCATGCTGGCTGGCCCGGGGCAGGCTGACCTTCAGCCCTTCCACATGACCCTTTCAGATGATGCATCCACGCCTTGCTACAGTGCCTTCCTTCATCATGGCTCCCCCTTTGGGCAGTCTACCACCCAACCTCTGATAGCAGGTAACCAGCTTTGCTCACAGGGGATTCTGCAGTTGAGGGGCTTGGTAATGTTTGACAGGACTGGAAGACTTGTAAACACTGCAGGCTCTTTACGTACGAGTCAGGGAGGTGAACTGGAGCTCAAAGAGCAAGTCCAAAAGCCAGTGCTGTTCTCAGAGCTCTGTACTGGACACAGTTTTCAATCTGGGGCTGTCTACAGGTTTCAGGACTCCAAGCTACCTTTTTGTCTATAGTGATAAATCAGAAGAGGGGCTTCAACTACATGGGCGTGCCTAAGTTAATGCACATTAAGGCTGCATGTCTACACATGCATGCCCTTAATGTGCATTAAAAATTATGAATTTAGGCTATTCATGATGCAGGTATCAGATTTAGGTGCGAATAGTTAAAGCACATTAATGAATGTATAGACACATTAAAAAACATTAACGCTATATGTGCCGACTGACCTGGGGCTAACTTTAGTCCCAAGTCAGTCTACATACAGCATTAATGTGATTTAATGCCTGTAAGTGTAGACACCTGCCTAAACCTGCTTAATACGCATTAAACTAACGCACATTAAATTTAGGCATGCTTAAATGCACATGTAGGCATGCCCCATGGGACTAGGATCTTAGGGGTTGAAGAGTCCCAGTTAGAAGGGTATGGGTCTCAGTATGGAGCCACTGGTATAGTGGTATCCTGTGTTAAACATTAAAGGTGATAGGAATTATAGCTACACTACCATATTGGTATATGAACTGTGGTAGATTAGGATTTATTGGGGCCCTGGGCAAAGAAAACTGGAGGCCCCTACCAGGGAAGGGAAGGTTCCCTCTGTGCCTACCAGGGGCTGCAGCTGGGCCTACCCAGCCTCCTCGGCTTGTCCAGGATGGGTCAGGGGGAGAGGGGGCAGGAAGCACTGAGGAGTTAAAGGCTGCCCCAGCCCCTCCACCCAGCAGGTGTCCTGCAGCCAGAGCTGTGGTCCCCCAGCACCATTGCACAGGCTGGGCCAAGGCCAGCTTGGGCGAGCACAAGCTCAGCCCTTGGTGATCAGCCCACCCTTCTGCTGACCCAGGTGGCGCACAGCTGTCCTGTCCTGTCCCAGAGGCACTGGTACTGGTGGCTGCCCACAGCAGATGGCCTTGGGAAGCTGCCACCACGTGCATGGAGCCCCATGAACATCCCTAGCCCCTGGCCCTGGCCCAGCTGGAGGGTTGAAGGTGTGCACTGCCCACCCCAGATGCCCACAGCCAGGGTGCCTGCCAGGGCTGTGCTGCCCCTGGCACTGCAGGGGGCCCCTGGGCCTATGCGTTAATCTGCTCCTGTATGTGAACTACCTAGGTTACGTCTAGCTCGGATACAACTACATGAGGTGCTATTACAGCAGTGACTGCAGTGCAAAGCTGCCAATGGAAAGGCTGGAGTTAATATGAAGAAGGGCATTGGGAGACCTGAATGGGAAGACATATAGATAGACTGGAGGAAATAAAATTCTGCAGTTTAGAGAAGAGAAGCCTGAGGGAGACAGAAAAATATAAATGAAGAAAGAATGCTATTCCCAGTCTCAGAAGGTAGTAGGACAAGGAGCAGCACCCTGAGGCAAACAAAGGAAAAGTCTGTGAGACACAGAGAAATTCCCACATGCAGAGTAATTGAGGTACCAGTTCTGGATAGGTTCAAGGGTAGGTGAGATGAAACAGTAGTAGTTACACCCTGCACAGAAAGAGCAAGTCAGGCTGGATGATCAATAAGGATGTTGTGGCCCTGCCAATCAGGAATGTTTTTGATGTCCTTTTCAGAGCAGGGAAAAGCTCCATGTTTGGCAGGTGCCAAGTACATGCAAATTAATAATACCTCTACTTGTGCCTATATTATTATTATTGTTTCCCCTCACCCAAACTTCTCCCTTTTCACTTGGCCATTAGCTGGGTTTGCATTGTTAAGATATTCATTGGATTCTCTGAAGATCTCCCTGTAAGACAGCAGAGAACAAAACAGCACTGAGAGCTCTTTTGCTTATTCAGTCCTCTTAGACCAAGCCTTAGTATGTCCTCTTGGTGCCCCTGAACTCCATGCATTTCCCAGCCCAAGAAGGATCCTGCTGGAGTCTTTGCAGCAGTGCCGTTCTGTAGGGCAGGCAGATGCACATCTGAGAAACAACCCATTGTCAACTCAGTGCCACAGTTCTGAGGTGCCTACTGCCTTCAGGTCACAGAATCATTTATGAGAGAAGCTGCTGGTATCCTGCTTCCCATCTTACAGAACTTCATTCAAGACGGTGATTGTATTTATCACTCAAGAAGCTCCTAGGATAGGGAGCCTGGCCTGGGAATGGAGGATTGCTAGAGTGCTAGTTTTGCCTTACCCCATGAACTCAGGCAGGTGATAAGCCTTTCACCCCACCAACATTGTGTGTCTAGTGGCATTTTCATTGAAGCACTGCAAAACCCTGGCTTTGGGTGCTCGCCTCTTGCTCATTTGAGTCATACCTTTGATGTCAGTAAGTTCTTACCACCAAACCAGCAGGGCCACTGAATTTCTGAAAGGCCACCAGCACCCCATCTAAAGATGGGGGTAATTGAAGCCTTTGTGATCTCAAAATGTCACAGGTTTCACCAACCTATAACTGCAAGAAACATTGGCAATTGCATGACAGGACTGACCTGCACAAAGGAGACTTGTCACCTCCTTTTTCAAGGTTGGGGTTTTCAGCAGGGGCTTCGGGAATGAAGTGCCTATCTCCTCCTGGATCCCCTACATCTGAGCATGGGTGTGCTCACCTGGGAAAATGTGAGAAGGGCACGTGCTTATGAAACTGGATCTGAGTGTGCATGTGCACATGGCCAAGCAGGAACATGGATGTGTATCTGTACTTCACACAGAATTTCAGTACAGGCATGTCAAGCCTGTGCTCTTTTTCCATGTTTCAGTGACATTTGCATCAATTTGCGATCTGCCATAATGTCTTAGACTGCTCAGTCTGGGAAAGCCCAGTGAGTGCAAAGTCTGAGTGCTCCCTTGTGCACACTGTTCTCTCCATAAGGAAAGGTTGTGAGAAGGTAAAAATGATGTGACAGTAGTTAGTCCCAATGCTTAATGCATGACAAGAAACACTTATATATTAGGTGATGTGGGGGAGGCTAAGGATCTGAATAGAACAGAATATAATAGAGAAGCCATCAATGCCTCCAAAGCTTCAATATTAGAAAATGGTCAGAGGGCAGTAGGACCAGCAGGCTAGTTCCTACTATCTAAGGTGAAGTGGAAGAGGAAGTTCAAGAATGGTTGGGGAATGTTCAAAGGGAGAGCTCAAGGACTTGCATTTCTTCTTATGTTAATCAAACCAGTCCACCAATCCTTAGTCAAAACCTAAAAGCAATGGCACTAGTTCAACTCTGTGAGGTTTCCTCAGCTGGGAATTCACATTCATTCCCCACATTGATTCAGTTCGTGCTCTGCTCAGTGAATGCCATTCATCTCTGGTGCCTATGCCAGGCTTATTTCAGGGCTCAGGTCACCAGTTTTACTACTGTCACAGTCGAGCTGAAACAATGGGTCTGATTCTCCTTCCATTTACATGCAGCAGTACAGTACACTGTTAGTTAAACTGGTGTTACAGTCCTGGCTTACCCAGCTGCAGATAAAGGAGAATGAGGACCCAGATCTCCAAACAGAATAGATTTAACAAAGCTACCACAAATGGCAAACTTAAGGGTGAGCTACTGCTCCCTTTGGCTGAAGGGCCCTGGCTGACTAGCACAGCCCGAGATCTCAGTAGACAGATTAGGAGGTTGAGCTGTAAATCTCTCAGCAGCTGTGGGGAAAAGATTATCTTAATTTATTTAGACTTTTTCTTTTTCTTTTTCTGGTTTTGGCTTGAAACTCCCAGCAGCTTCAGAGATGATTTTAGTTCATTTAAATGCAATAAGCACTAACAGCAAAATGCCCTTGTGGCTGGCCCATTTTCAGGCTAACCAGTCCAAATGAGGAAATGCCTCTGGCATCAAGCAAGGCATTTACAGCTGCACTTCTGAAGAGGTAAAAAAATAAACCCCTGTCATGTTCTGCCATTCCAGCTCACACACCGCCCTGTCCCATGCAGGGAGGAGTTACCCTGACTTTGGGACAGGTAGAAAACAAACATTTGTGACAAAAAATAAAGAGGGGATCAAATTAAAATCTGAGCTTCTATTATTTTAAACATTAGAACAGTACTCAGTGTGATTCCAACTGAGACTGGGGCCTCATTATGTATGCTAAGCACTATGCAGTTGTAGAAGAAGACCGTCCCTATTCCAAAACGTTTACAATGTACGCAAAGGCACAGGGAGGTGAAGTAACGTGCCCTCAGATGCCCTCACAGGCCAGTGGCAGACCTGGGAAGAAAACCCTGGTCTCCTAGTCCTGATCCAGTGCTAACAGACCCTGGACCATGTTTCTTTCTGAACAATCAGAATCCATCACACTTTTGAAACAGCCACCACATATAGGGACTCAACATTTCTTCTGATGAACGTGATATACTTTCCTATGCAATTAGATGCACTTTGAGTAGTTTAAAATAGATCCAGGCTTCTTAACTGGGCCCAGTCTACACAGTGAGAGACAATGAATTCCTCTGAACATCATGGAGGCTTGCTTTTTACTCCTCATCCCTACAAAACTGAATCAAAAGTGTCTAGTGTCAAATAGGCCATCAGCTGTACAAGACAAAGACACAGATTGCTTATGCAGCAGGTTCTTTCTTACATGATGTTGAAAAGGAAGCTGACAACAGCTCAGCACAGGAGTGTGGTTCAAATCCCCCTTCCCCCACTTTATCTTCTGTCTCCTTTTCCTTCTCCTTCTAGGTCGTGATATGGCAAGTACCACCTTACCTGGTTACCCACCCCACGTTCCTCCCACTGGACAAGGCAGCTACCCAACCTCAACTCTCGCAGGAATGGTACCTGGTAAGTCAATGCTGAAACCATCTGCAGTTTTGCTTAGCCAGTGTCCAGGCTTTGATAACTCTGTTCAGGCTGTTGAATAGCTTATTTAATTTTGAAAAGCCTACATAGTGGCATCTCTGGCTCCGCTGCTGTTAAAGTCCTTTCTACCTGTAAAGAAAATGATGGCCTAGAATTCAGGATAACTTTCTATGCACAGCTCACAGCCTAATGTAATTCATTCCTCCAGTAACCAATTCACCACAGCTAAGAGCAACCAACTATCTATAATCTATGGTAATTAACTACCCTATGGTAATTGATTAATCTTAGTATTCATTAACTATGGTAATTAACTTCCAACAACCCCCGTAAATTATTATCCACAACTCCTGGCTCAGGATAATTAACTACCCACTAGCTTAGGGTAACAAACTACCGTCTGTCCATAGCCCAGGACAACTACCAATGAGAAGCTGGTGATAATTCAATGTCTACAGCCTCTGGGTGACTACAATGCTACCTATTGCCAACAACCTAGACTAGATAAGATTCTACAAATAACTAACAGCTTGCTCAAGGAAGATTAACTACTCACAGGAACCAACAGCTATCTACCTGCCTACCTAGAGTCCACTTGCCTCTACCCTATCACAAAGTCACTATCCACAATTCAAGGATAACTACTTACCATATCCATGGGACAAGTGGTTCTCTGGCACCTATTCCCTATGAAGAATTACTTGCTCTCAGCAACCAATTGACTGATACTACCTACTGCTCACTGAAAACCAAAAACCTACTATGTGTAGTCCTAGGGAATTTCACTTTCTAATCTAGGGATACATTGGTCGCATACCACAGTCAGTTTTCAGATCTGGGAAGAATATTTGGACAGATGTTGGTCCCCATTACAGCCCCTTTTGCATCACCCCAGCTGCATAGAGGCCTATAAAGCTGGCCATTTGTGTGTTGAAATCTCTAGATGATGGAACTCTGAGATTGGTCTCATTTGTAAAGAGGGCTGGCTCATCTTTCCACAGACTGCAGGATAAGGATAGCACACACAAGATGCAAATCAGTTAAAAAAGAAAAGTAATCCACATACAGATTGGTTACAATTCAAAGCTGATCTAAGCTTGAGAAGTGATTCCTCAGCACCTTAAACAATAGCTTTTTGGAAAAGCTAATTCTAAAGTACAGATGAGGAGAGGTCCTTCTTGACTTAATAATACACAGGGGTTAGTTTAAGAAATAACTGACTTGGAGTAACTCAGTATCAGTGACTATTATATAATGAAGTTCAACGTCCTCATGGGCAGGGATCATACCAATAACTCGCAATAGGACAAGATGGTCACAAAGGTCCTTATTTCTAATGTTGGAGAATTCAGCTCCTCAGCATGGAAGCGGTTTACCCAAAGGAGAGGAACACACCCAAAGAAAGAAATCATGTGGTAAGGAAAAAATCTGTACAGTAGAAGTACAAGGTGCAAGGTGCAAGAGATTATTCAAGCCCAATGAATATCCTTCCAAAACTGAAAATCCGTCTATATTAGGGCTTAAGCCAACCTCTGACTATGGGGGAAATTTCCTGTGAAGTCTACTGGGGCATTCTGTAGTGTTTCTTGCACCTTCTTATCAAACATTTGGTACTAGTAGCTTTCAGTTTTGGGATATGAGGATGACTGATTTACTGCAGTCTGGCAAGTCTTATGTTCTCACGCTCTAACTCAACTGGAGCCAACATTTTCTTTCCTTCCATTTTTCTAAGCAGGGACAGGGACATCCCCCCCACCAAAAATCCGGACAGACCCAGGGGACGCGCAGCCAGGCCCAGGGTCAGTGAGGACCTAGTCAGGGAATTTCTGGAAGAACTAGATGTGTCTAGCAGGTCGTGACGATCTCCACCCCAGAGTGCTGAGGGAACTGGCAGAGGTCATTGCAGGACCCCTGGCACAGCTTTACGAGCACTCATGGTGCTCTGGTGAGGTGCCAGAGGCCTGGAAAAGGGCCAGTGTGGTCCCCATTTTCAAAAAAGGGAGGAAAGAGGACCCAGAAAACTACAGGTCCATTAGTTTTACCTCGGTCCTGGGGAAGGTTTTTGAGAAAATAGCCCAGGAGCACATCTGCAAGGGACCTGCAGGGGAGATCATGCTTAGGGGCAACCAACATGGGTTCATTCGAGGCAGGTCCTGTCATACCAACCTGGTGGCCTTCTACGACCAGATCACAAAAGCCCTGGACGCATGTGTCGCAGTGGACGTAGTCTTTCTGGACTTTAAGAAGGCCTTCGACACTATCTCTCACCCCATCCTCATTAAAAAATTAGGTGACTGTGGTGTCGACGCCTACACAGTCAGATGGGTCGCCAATTGGCTGGAGGGCTGCACCCAGAGAGTGGTGGTGGACCGGACTTTTTTGACCTGGAGGGATGTGGGCAGTGGGGTTCCCCAGGGCTCAGGCCTCAGGGCTGCACTGTTCAACATCTTTATCGGCGACTTGGACGAGGGGGTGAAAAGCACCGTGTTCAAGTTTGCAGATGACACAAAGATGTGGGGAGAAGTGAGCATGCTAGAAGAGAGGGAAAGGCTACAACTAGATCTGGAAAGGTTACAGAGGTGGGCAGATGAGAACAGGATGGGTTTCAATACAGACAAATGCAAGGTACTGCACCCGGGAAGGAAAAACCAGCAGCATACATACAGGCTGGGGAACTCCCTTCTCATCAGCACAGAGGCAGAAAAGGATCTTGGAGTCATTATTGATTCCAAGATGAACATGGGCCACCAATGTGGGTATGCAGTCAGGAAGGCTAACCGCACCTTGTCATGCATCCACAGATGCATCACGAGCAGGTCCAAGGAAGCGATCCTTCCCCTCTATGCAACACTGGTCAGGCCGCAGTTGAAGTACTGTGTCCAGTTCTGGGTGCCGCACTTCAGGAGGGATTTGGACAGCATAGAGAGGGTCCAGAGGACGGCCACTCGCATGATCAGGGGGCAGCAAGGTAGGCCCTATGAGGAGAGACTACAGGACCTGAACCTGTTCAGCCTTCACAAAAGAAGGCTGAGAGGGGATCTGGTGGCCACCTACACACATGCCAAGGGGGACCAGCAGGCAATGGGAGAGTCCCTGTTCCCCTGAGCACTACTGGGAGTTACAAGGAATAACGGCCATAAACTGACTGAGAGTAGGTTCAGGCTAAACATCAGGAGGCAGTACTTCACAGTCAGGGCAGCTAGGAGCTGGAACCAACTTCCAAGGGAAGTGGTGCTTGCTCCTACCCTGGGGGTCTTCAAAAGGAGGCTTGATAATCACTTTGCCGGGGTTGTTTGACCCCAGCAGTCTTTCCTGCCCATGGCAGGAGGTCGGACTTGATGATCTTCTCAGGTCCCTTCTGACCCTACAAACTATGAAACTATAGACCTTGACCCATGGAACATGAAATAGACATTAGGATGCCTAATGGAGAATTTGAAGAGTGAACATCCAGAGACTTAAGCACAGACAACATGAATTTATTTTAGGTATATCAGAAGCATATCAGAAGTATATCAGGAGTCTCCCTGCTGACCAGTCAAATACATCTTACCGGGATGTTGTCAAATGTTCTGACTTGCCAAAGAATAATATTATCCAGTTACCTTCCATGTATGCTCCAAAAGAACCCTGAGGCTGGGTCTTCACCACTAGGGTTCTGTTTAGAATGGTTCTGATTCCTGTGTTAAATTTCTGTTATGAGGATGCTAAAATGGAGTTGTGAGACTGTGGGTAGATATGAGCAGGAGTGTGGCTCATCAGAGACAATAAGGAGCTCTCCAAAGAGAGATTTAGAGTGGTGGATGGCAGTCTGAATAGAAAGGGCCACCTGCAGAGCTGGTCAAAAAACAGTATTTCCATCCTATGGGAAACTCAGTATCTTGCAACTTGTTTTTGCCTTATATCAGGATAGAGTCAAAATACATAATGGAACAAAATATTCTGAAATATTTCAATCAAAATAAAAATGTTTAAGAAAAATCAAAATGTAATATATGTAAAATATATCAAACTAAGAGCTGATGCAAAACTAGATAAAATGAGAAAGTCAAAACGTAACACTGCATTTCTGTTTTGAATGATCTCAATTGGCTCCTGTTGAAAATTACATCGGACTTGACACATTTCCAGGAAATGTTTCAATTTTGGTGATATACCCTCTTCTAAAGAAAACTGTTTGACTAACTGTAGCTAAATGCTTTGCATCTTATCAGAAAGATCCTACTGACATCAATGGGGTTGCACTCACGTGACTGAAAGGAGAGTCTGTCTCCCTTTGTAATGTGCACATGCAAAACAGGTGGCCGTGGGTGCAGATATCTCTAAGGCTCATGCAAATGCTGCCATAAGACCTGTCCTTCACTTGCAATCACTTGTTGTCATATTTGTAGTTTACAATAACAGCTGCAACTTAGACTCGCAGGCTCTAAGGATGGATGGAAGCAACTAGGTCATGAATTTAATCCCCACCCACTCCCTGCAAGGGCAAGAGTTAGTCCCTCAAAGGAAGACTGGTCAGATATTAAAGTAATGCTACCTGAATCTGTACATGATCCAGGCTTGGGATGCTTGCTCAGTGACAAAATACCCTCCTCCCCACTCTTCCCCAGAGAAGCTGTTAGCACCACCTTCATGTCTGCTGGGGCTTTCTGCAAACCCCACTGGAAAGGTAGGCAATGTCTAAAAGGAGCCAGAGTTTATGCAAAGCAGCACAGAGCCTGCAGAGGGCTGGTGGTGGCAACGGTGGGGAGTCGTTAAACAGAATCCAATGCTGATGAGGAAATTACACTTGTTTCATTAGCGATCGGGAAAGGCGATAGCTCAGTTCCTCTTGGTCACAGTTGAGCTCAAAAGCTCATTATCCTGCTGCATGCATGCTTTCACTCCCCGTCAATAAACACCGTTTCCAGTGGCTGCCCTCCCTCCTCCCCAGCTCCCCATGGCTGGGGCTCTTTCTCCTCTACTTAACCTGTGGTTCAGGATCACTATAAGCAGTTTAGGGTGACAACACAGAAGAGAGAGAGAAGACTGGAAACATCAGAACTTTTCTCTCCCCTGAAGCAATCCAAAGAAATGAGCTTCACTTTATGAGGCAGCACAGGGCAGAAATACACATCAGGCTTGCTTCTTCCTTCTCTTTGGCCCAGTTTGATCCCTGGTGTAGTGTGAAGTGGTAACTCACCTCAATGCTGTTACATCAGGGCTCTGCTTGGCTTTCTGTATCTGTACTGACTCCTCTCTCCTTGCTTGTCATCCCAGCCTCTCTAGCAGGAATTTAGGGACACTTCTCCATCTGTTTGCCAGGGTTTTCAGTGCTGGGTGTTTCTGAATACACAAGCAATACAGGGATTACCTTTAAACAGCCAACATCTGCTAAGATCTCCCAGTCAACAGACCTGTGATGCTGTCCTGATTACTCTAATATACATGGAGATAAGAACCACCATAGCTGGGGTGTCTTGGACACCATAAGGCCATGGTGATTCCTGACACATGCTGGCTTTTTGTGATGACTATACACTTCTTAACTGCTTAAAAATGGATCAGATCCTCAAAAACCTTAAATCAGTATAGTTCCACTGAGTGTCATGGACTCTGTTTCCACTAGCAGAGAATTTGGCCTGTTGATTCTCATGTTCATGTGAATGAAGATGTACAGAGATTAGAGTGTAATGAACTGAAATCTCTTCAGTAATTATGTCACCAGTATTTAATGTATCTTGCATTACCTCCCTTAACCTCCTTGCTGTGGGTGTCTATTAGTAGACCTAGATTCTTTGTACATGTACTGTTTCTGTAACCAGGAATCTGGTCCCAACAGAGAACAGACAGCAAGTCATTATCAAAATGTACATACCAGTAGCCATTGGTCACTTTAAGATTTTGTTCGCCTATGAGGCATGTAAGTGGTCTTAGGAGCCTAACTGTGATTCTGTTGCTCCCTGTTCAAGTCCCTGAAAATCTACTAATGCATCAGTGGGAAGAGCCACCCATTATGTTTTTCATAGACTCAAGGAAGGTGGATTAGAAACACACTTAGGCACCTAAGTTTACTTACATGCCTAATGGGTGAAATAGACTCTGTTCCTTTTTCAGTGTCATTGAGTACACACAGCCTTCCCAGTTGGCGTTGAGCTTTCCCTGCTTGCATTAAAGGGAGGTTATTCTCAGACAAGAGACTTTTCAAAACTGGCATCTCCTTACTCAACAGATTAATGGGTTTTACAGCCAAAAGAAACTGTTATGATCACTTACCTATTTGGACCTCAGCATATGTCTTCCAGTTGTATCTTCTCAGTTACAAGACTGTACTCCCACTAGTCCCCACAGAGCCAATACAGCTAAAAGAGACATGCCAGCTTCTCTTCTGTCTTACACCCCATAAACCCAAAGATTTAAGGTGAAGATGCAAATTTTGCATCCTGTTCCAGATTTCCAGGACACCACATAGTTCATAAGCATTTTGGTTTGGACCAACAATCTGATGAAGAAGAAGAGGCAGAGAGAACCTAGCTTACCTTTCAGATTCCAGGCAGCACAAACCATGCTGGCAAATTAGAAAAATATTTTTTTTACTTTTAATTTTGAGTGTGTTTTGTATGGAAGTTAGTGACAGAATAAAAATGAGGATCCCCTTGAGTCCCCTTCTGGCTACCTCCAGCCTACAGAGGGAGAAGGAAAGAAATGGTCATGACTCCTAAGAATGAACTAAGACCAGTACAAGTTGCCACTGCCGTGTTGCCTGCTCTTGTGGTATTATGGTGAGTCTCACAGTATGTGGTGTTTCTCCTGATGTTCCTACCCGAAGAATTACAGAATTTCAGCTGCAATTAAAAAAAAATTGCTAGCAAGCTGCAGAAAAGCCAAAAAAATGTGTAAAATCTTGTGAAAAATGTGTGAAACCAAAAGGCAAAGAAAAACAAAACGTGCTCTTGTGCTGGCTTAGGGGACCTGTCCCTCACATTGTATTTCATTCCCTGTTTTGTTCCTTCCAGGGAGCGAGTTCTCAGGGAACCCATACAGCCACCCTCAGTACACGACTTACAATGAGGCCTGGCGATTCAGCAACCCCGCATTACTAAGTGAGTACCTCTCCCCGCTGCCCACCCCAGCCTCGCGCTCCTTCTGTTTGTCTCTTATTTTTCTTTTCTTTGTTTGTATGTTTTCTGAAAGGGCCTTCAAGTATCAGGCCAGGTGAAAGGCTGGTCTTTTAGTGCCCATTCTGGCATCTAAAGACATATGTCAATGACTCTTCTTTTCTCCACCTGAGGGCTGCCCCCAAACTACTTTGGGTGGGGTTCAGAAATCCAGGTCAGGTTCTGCTTCTCCCATAGGCTACATTCCAGATTAGAAAACCAGTGCGTTATCTTTTTACATGGATTGCTCCACATGAGATCAGAAGTCTAGTTCAGGTTTTCCCCTTGTAACCAGCTTCACCCAGAGTCTATTCCAGTGGGGTGCAGGAACACAGCAAACTTTCTGCACATTGGAGAAGAATCTATTCCCGATACGTGAGCAGTCCACTTTGGCTGAGTCTGTGGGTGGCTGTTAGAGTCTTTCCAGTGAAGATGCAGCCACAGTGAACCTAATACGCACAGAAAAAGTACAGTCAGTCAGAGGGGGGGAAAACAACCCATAAAACTCTTCTCATGCAGCATTTCTTTGCAAAAGATCAGGAGGAGATTTATTATATGTAAAATAAATCAGCTGTGATAATTAACTACATATTTACTGAGGTTTAACAACTGGGTAATAGATACACATTTTATTCCAGTGTTGTTAAACCTCAGTGAATGTGATCTTAATAATCAATCACTATTTAACTCACATCCAATAACTGGCCAGCAAGCTTTTGTTCCAAATGTGACCACAATCCCAAGCAATGAAACAACAGAGGCTTGTTTCATTCCTCCCCCAGCTGATGTTGGAAACAGCTCACAGCTCGTGTCATATCCGCTCAGACAAGCCAAGTCCTAGATACCTGCTATATGGCTGCAGCTCAGGTAGGAGGTGCTTGTAGGGCAATGCTCACTCTTTACAGCCTCTTGATAGGTAGAGGCACAGGGAAGAAGGGATTTCCTGTCACCAGAGAGGTTGCAGAACCGTACAAGTGGCAAATATCTTTAGGGGAAATGTCATCCCAGGATGGGTTTGATGGTCTACCTGCCAGCAAATGAGAGTGAGATCTGAGCCCAAAGTTGTCTCCTTTGATTTCTTTTTCTTCTTTTCTTTTCCTTTTTTACCCGTTTTCCTTTGTTTCTTTTCCTTTTTTATTTTATTTTGGTTTTTTTTGGTTTTTTTTTTTTTACTGTTTGTCCTTTCAACCAGTCCATTCTTCTCCTGTGTTAACTTTCAGGTTCCCCTTATTATTATAGTGCCACATCCCGGGGCTCCGCACCTCCCACTGCTGCCGCTGCCTATGACCGCCACTAGTTACCATGGAAACCACATGAAACTGCAGGGCGACAGCTTAGGCCTCCATATTGTACCTGTCTGATCAACCTTCTCCATCCCTGGGAAGGGTGAAGAGAACTTCTCCGTTCCTCCCTACCTTCTGCACCCTCCCCTTTGCTGCAGAATGCGCCTTATCCAAGCGCTCACAACAACAGACTGAACAGTACGTGTCCCCTGCACTTCCCTGCGCTCCAACCCAACTGCTTTCATGGACAATGGGAAGGGCCTGTCCACAGCTCAGTGGCTGCTACAAGCCTTCAGACCACGTCAGCCATGCAAGGTCTGCCTGACTAAGGGGAATTCAAGCAATGCAGCCTGCAAGCTTTGCCTATAGGGGACCCCATTCTCCTAGGAGTGGAACAGGCAGGATGAGGCAGAGAAGAAGCCACCTGCAAAACACTGTTCCCAAAAGAAACTCTCTTCTCTGGTGGACACTTCAAAACTCTAAAAAAAAGGCCCTGTTGATGACAGCTCTGTTTTGGAGGACAGAGGGGATGTTTGGCTAGAGTGGAGAGGGCAGCACAAAGAGAGGTGACCTGTCTAACAATGAAGGAAAGGACCAAATGACTCCCTGCATCCCCCAAGGGTCTCTCTGTGTGCCTCATTCCCACTCTTCTTCTTCATGTCTTGGCTTCCCCCATGGTTCCGTTTGAAAGCTGACCCTAGCGTGTTGTGACCTTGCAGGCCAGAGTTGGGTTGACATACACGCACCTAAACACACACACAATTTCTGTGACACACAATCAGCTTGGCCAGGAGGATGAAGCAACATCAACAAACCAACCACCCAACTGATGAAATGAAGAAATATATAAATAGATATATAAATATAACTGTGTTTTTATGCTTTGTCATGAAGGTCTGTAAAAAGGAAAAAAAAACAAACAAATCCCCAATTTTCTAAAAAAAAAAAGCCCAACAAAAAAGCAAAATAAAAAGCCCCTACAAATATAAACCCCAGTCCCCCCACCTGAATGGCAGACAAGTTCCTCTGATGTTTGATGCTCCCCTTTCACTCTTGCGTTTCGTTTCCTTTCTGTTTTGCACTAGAATGTGATGGTGGTATGAAAGAGGATGGGATGCCAGCTCCACTCTCCATGGCCTCCTCTACTCCCTCACCCACAAATCGTTCTCTGGGGAACAGTGTGAACAATTCATATCTGGAAAAAAATTACTGAATCAGCCCATCAGCAGAAACCCCCAAACAAACATTCTCCAGGCCAGTATTCAGCAAACAGAAACCAAGTCTAGGCACTTGCTCTTACCATGCTTGTGGTGAAAAGGAAAGTGTTGGGTTTCATGCAAGCCCACTTGCTTTCCTGCCAGTGGAGATGGACAAATTCAGGACTGATTAGGATTGGTACTTGGTTCCCTAGCTTTTGGCTCTCATGCTTTCATATGTAATCCCACTCCTAGTTCAGTTAGCCTGACATCCTGACACCCACTGTCCACATCCCCAGATCCTGATGCCCCTGACATCATTTAGCTGTGGCCTACACCCAGTACCTAAATCTCTGTAACCTAATCTCTACACTAGTTATCTGTAAACCTACACTTTACCAGCAACCCATATCCCATGCTCCCTCCCCACTGCACCCTCAACCTATATTGCACACACTAATATTTACCCCTTGATCCCTGAACACTCTCCTAAGGGTAGTCTTTTTAGTTCCCAAGTGACTGGCAAGCACTGCTCTGTGAAAGGCTCATTGCCAGTAGAAATGTTTATTGCTCCTTTATCGTCAGGAAACTCATATGCTCCTGTTCTTTGCACTGCTGCTTTCAAAAACTACACAAAGAAAAGCTGTAGACAACTACAGCCTGTCTCCTTGGCATCAAGTCTGCAAAAGTAGATCCTTATTGTTATTTTAGAAAGATTTTGGGTAAGACAAGGGGCTGCCGTTTATGAACAAAGGCAGGACTGAGAGGCAAACTACCGAGCAGGTAAAGATGAACCATGGAGCATCTAGGCAACCAGAGTTGTGTATAAAACCCGTTCTCAGCCTCTGTATGTGGTGTGGCTGTGGATGCAGCTTTCTGGCTGCAGGTTTAAGCTGTTTTTGTGAAAAATCCAGTCTCAGTAGAAGGATCCCATTTACCCAGCACTGCCTCAGAGTACAGCTGAATAGAAGAGCTCTGTGTGTTCTCAGGTAGAGTCACCTAAGATTGGTTTTCTTTACACAAGCGAGAAGGGCCTAAAGTTGTTCTTAGTCCCACCAGGATTATCTCTAGTAACTCCAGTCAAGTCACGGGAGTTACTCTCAGATGTACTAAGTCAATGGTGTCACTCCAGAGCTGTTATTCTGGATCCACTAAGGCTGATAGAGTTTATCCAGATCAAAGTCAGTGCCACTGGGACTAGAATTTGGCCCTTTGTCTCATTCTATCTTAAATGAAAAAGAAACACAGGTTGGTCATTGCTAGGACCCCCCCTCCCCTCCTCCTCCCCATCCCTGCACCTTCATAAATTCTACACACATCCAGGGTACAGCTGGACTCCAACTAGTATGTATCCAATACAGCTTCAGTTTTCCCTGCTCCAAGTCCAGCTGCACCCAGCACCTGGTCAAGGCCAGAAGCAACAAATCCAAAGCCTAATAACCAGAATACCCTGATGGGGCTAGAAAACAGGAGGCAGAGCCATCTCACAGTGGGCAACTGGAAGCCCAGGAAGTCACCTCCAGAGAAGCTGGTCGCTGAGAAAGATCTGTTCGGATGACAGCCATTCACTAGCCTTGAGATAGAAGGGAGGGTAAGAAAGCAGGATTTGGTTGGTTCACTCACCAAAGCTGGCTTGATTCAAGCTGGCTTGATTCACTATTGGTGTATAACTCCACTTACATGGAGATTTCCACTGGGCACCAGTTTGGCCTGGCAAGCCTGTAAGATCTGCGAGATGTTTGATCAGGAAAGCAAGAGGAAAGTATAATTATGCAAAGGACCTGGCAGCTTTATCCTCTTCCACCACCTCTTCTGTAGAGCCCCATGCGAATGTACTGAATTACATTTGCCAAAGAGTTTCTTGTGTTGGTTGTTTTGATTTACAGTCGGTGGATGCATTGTAAAGCAGTATTATAGCTAAAGTCTAGTAGCTGACACGGGGATTTATGTGGTGATATTATGCAGAAGAAAACCATCAATATTCATATAGATTCCATTAGACTGGACTATGCAGGAAACGCAAAAATTCTACCAATTATTTAATATTATGTTATTTGCAAAAACAATTGCTGCTTTGTAGGAAGATAATGTGTGTAATGTGAAGGCAATTCCTCTTGTATATAAGTTCATCTCCATCTTCATCATGGTAGTTATTAAAACAGCCTCGTCTCATCCTGTAGATAAGGAACGCTCTGTCTGTACTGTGCAAGTCTCGTTGTGCTCACTGAAAACAAAACTATGTGTTCAATAAAGCACAGCACGAACCCAGAACCTGAGGGAACAGCCGAACCTTGGAAGGACTCCTTCCCTGAGAGCCTGACCGTTGGTTTATTTTAGGTGAATTTTTTTTTCATTTTTCTTAAAAAAATTTACAGGAAAAAACAAACAAAAAAAGTTTGGAAGGAAACAAATCACTATGCAAAATCTGCCACTGCATTCCATGCCTCTCTCCTCCATGCTGTTTTCTCTTCTTTCCCTGCTCACCTTTATTTCTCTCTCCTCCTGTCCAGCTCTTCTCTTTCTCTCTTAACTTTTATGTCTCTCTCTTTTACTTCACTTCAAGCCATTTTGGAGAGGGAGGCAGTGTTTCCAATGGTCAGAGCAGGTGAATAGGAATTGGGACTCTTGAGTTCTCTTCTTGGCACTGGCAACATTCATCAAGTCACTTCACTGCCCTGTGCCTCTCAATCCCCCATCTGTAAAATGGGAATTTGTTCATCAGGGTGGTGTCAGGCTAAATTCATTAATTTTTGCCAAATGGTTTGAGTTCATTGGATAGAAGTCTCTATGGGTGTGTGAAAGAGTCTTTTCATTAAAGATAACAATTGTCACTGACTTCCCTCTCCTGGGCTGCTGTTTTTTCCTCCTTTGTAGGTTGTCCTCCATTTCTCTACTCATTCCCTTTTGCTCTCTTGTCCTTCCTGTCTTTTCCTCTCACCCCGTGCTCTGTCACTGCGTTTGCTTTCGCTTTTGCAAATGGATCAAGTAGAAAAAGTAGTACCACGGCCACATCTTTTTTGTGGGGGGGAAAGACTCTCATGGACTCCTGCAAAACAATGTGCTTTGTTGGAAGGAACAGGGACTGCAGCATTCATAACTGGGAAGGACTGGAGGCATGTTCTCTGGTGCTCCTGACTCCTTTCATTTGCTGGCTTCTTCTTTGACCATCTGACAGGATGTCGGGGAATGGGGTGGAAGCGGAGGGTGAGGCAACTCCATTAAAGCAGATGCCTTTTGTGACCTGTAAATGTTTTGGGGTTTTTTTTTAGTGGCAATGAGCCCTGGTGTGTTGAAACAGGGCCAAGTCTGCATGCTTTCCAAGCCATCAGTAGTGATGATTCAGATACAGAGCAAGGCTTCAGAACTATCACAACATGAATGTGAGGATATTAAACAAACAAAAAAAGACAAAAACCCTGCACCTATCTCTCCTCCTGAATCTTATTCAATATCTATTTTTTTCAAAGGAATTACTGAATTGTTGGGAAAAAAAACCCTTTTTTTTTGCCCTAAAGAAATGCACCCCGCCCCCCTCCCCGAGAAAGAAATGAGACCCAAACCCACCCACTTGGGACTTATCTGCTGTGGGTTTCTGTAGGACCCACACAAACTACTGCAATGTGTTCCTCACTTGGGTCCGGGAAAGTGGCAAAAATGGGAAAGGCAGGAAAAAGGGACCAAATAATAGTGACTCAAGGAGTGAAAATGTATTAAGCCACAAACAGAACTGGTGGTGGCCCCTGCCACAAGCTAGCCCCGAGGAAAGGGGCCGTCGCCAGGTGCAGGGTTGTACCTGTCCCAGGCTGCTGCAGCCGCTCTTGGCTTTTCCTCGTTGCTTCAATTCTGTTTGATTCTTTTTCTTTTTGTGCACTTGAAAAATAAAAACAAATTTTTTTTGTATGTCACCTTGGGGCTCCCGGCTTGTTTCTCTTTTCCTGCTCACTTGTTTGCTCACTCGCTGGCTCTCTCTCTTTCTCACACACACACACACACACACACACACACACACACACACACACACGCACTTCTATGGATTCACCCTGAGGTCTCCAGGATGTCACACTCCTTGCACCTCACCCTTTGGGCACTATGTAAACAATAAACACTACCAATGCTAATAACCGTCATGCCGCTTGATGGAAGGTGCTGTACACCTACATGTAACACATTACAGCAGACTCCAGTCCTCCTGAGCCTCCACTCCCCAGCTTCCCATTCCTGTGTATTGCCAGCGGGATTCCCTCTCCTGCTTATCTCGCTCAATTGACTCCAAGTGATACATATATATTTGGTGTCCCTCTGCACGATAATCAGGATGCGACTGGGTTACGCTCCACATTATAATGGCCTGAGGACCTGGTTCCCCTCCACCCCACTCCAGCCTCCTTATAGTATTAGTTGAGGGTTAGCATCGCTTTTTCATGGGGCCTCCAGGGAGGATTTTCATCTTCCTAACTTTGTCCAAATACTCAGCCAAAGTGCATGGATGGAGTGGCAGTTATTTGCACAGCCTCAAAAGAAGGGAAGATGAATGACAACTGCCAGGTGATATGCACTTGTACACACATGCGTACACACACACACGCACACCCCCCCCTTTCTGTGCTGTCCTAGCTTATAGCTGATTTATTTTCATAAGTGAAATCACTGAAGCCTGATGCTTTATACCTTACTCTCTCTGAATCTTCCCCGCGCTGTCCTCCTCCCTTTCAGCCAAGGTCCAAATCTGAATGCAAAGTCCTTTATTACCCATTTCACCATGTGTAATGTGCATCCTCCAGAGCACAACAAGTTGGAAGTTATTCAGGGTTACTACATGGGCCAAATCCTGAAGGTTTATCTACTTTTTTCTTAGTCCTGACTAAAGTATCTGCTCTCTGTGAAGCTGAGGACACATTAATGGGGATAGGCCAAGTGACAGCTTAGAGACATGCTCAAGGTTTGGCTAGATAAGTTTCTTTTTTTTCCTTCCCCAAAGAGTCTGTGACCCACCAATCAGCAGGTACATGTCCACACAGCTTTACTCAAATCAATGGGTTAGATCTGCAGATGGTCTAAAGTGAGGAGCCACTTCAGAGCTCCATGAAAGCCTGTGAGTTAGATCTTCAACTGCTGTAAATCTGCCTAAAAGTTCCATTGAAGTAAACAGGCCAGATCCCCAGTTGGGGTAAAGCAGCCTAGCTCCATGGCAGTCCGCACAGAAATCCTCTCATTGAATTGTCTTACTTGTTTCTTTAATTAGTTAAAACACTTGTTTTTCTTGCAATTTAAAGTGCTTCTTGGCAGAATGTTGGGGGCCCAAATGCATTTCTATTGGAGAGTGACAAGATATTGAAAATGAACCTTTTTTATTTGAGCCACAGACCTGCAGTGGAACTGCCTGGCAGCCTGGGGGGGCGGGGTGGAAATCAGGGATCTGCATCTTCAGGGCAGCCTGCCTAGTGATTTGGGCCTGACCTCCTTGATGGAGAATTTAAACATTAGGATCAAATTAGGATCAAACCAAATTTCAAAATCCTGAAACCTGCTGACAACCTTCCCTCAGCAACTGTACATTAGAGATCCCCACACACCAACCCTGAGCTAATAATGCATCAGGACCAGGATGTGCAGCTGAGTACAAAGAGAGGGCATTGACCCATCACCATTCACTGTCAAAGATAAGTGAAGGGTCTAAAAAGCAAAATTCATTTTGGTGGAATAATACTCAAAGATTTTGTGTCCAGTGTGACTGTCTAGCCCATCTGTGCTCCAAATGTGGTCCGTGGAGCCATCATCCAGCTCATGGGGCTCCCCATAGGTCCTGGAAGTTGGCAGTGGCTTAGTGGTGGCATGTTAACTGCAGAACCTCTAGGAGCCTCAATCCCCCGTTACTAAATTTTTGAAGCTATAGAGAGCCTCACAGGCCAGATGACATGGCCTAGTGTGCCAGACTGAGGCAGCACATGGGCCTAGTCCACAGCTAGGCCTGATGCATGGCCCCAGACCTGGTGGGCAGGGTTGGACCCAGTGCATGGGGCTGGTTCATGGCCCCAAACCTGGTACTCTGGGTCAGTTCACAGGCCTGATCCAATGCATTGGTTTGATCTGCAAGCCAGATCTGCCCTGCGGACTGGCTGTGCCTCACTCCTCTGGCCCATACACCAAAAAGGGTGAGCACCATTGGTCTAGCCTCATGATCCTGCCTTGAGCAATGGGTTAGAGTACAAGACCTCCTGTTTGTTCTAGCCCACAGGTTGCTCCAACCTGCAACTTGTAAATGTTTCTGGCTGCTGAACTCCTGAGGCATCTTCCAGTCCTACTTTTCTATGATCCTATAACATGAGAAAATACCGACCTGTGGCTCTTGCACCTAGCCCCATAATTCTGCCTAAACTAGAGTAGGGGTCAGCAACATATGGCCCATGGCCTGTACCTGGCCTATGGAGCCACTGGTCTGGCCCACAGAGCTGGAAGGTTTTGCCTGTGCCTGCGCAGTGGACATGTCTACACAAGACATTAAAAGTGCAGTAGGCATGCCCAGGCAGTGAGGAGCTGCACCTGTCCCGCTACTGCTTCTTCCTCCCCTTGCCCACCCCCACCCCAGCTGGAGTGTGGGTGCAGCTTCCAGCTGGTGGGGAGTTGTGCCTGGGCCCAGCAGCTTCCAGCTGTGTCCTTGCTGCAGCCAGGAGGTAGGCTGGGGAGAAGCAGCAGCATGGACATAGCTTCCATCTGTCTAGCCCCAGTCCAGATCTCCATTGGCTGGAAGCTGTGCAGCCAGGGAATGGGGGACAGGGAGAAGCAGTGGTGGTGCGAGCAAGCTCTCAGCAGCCTGGAGCAGACACAAGCAATCCCCTAGTCCACATCAGACTAGAGTTGGGTTGTTCCAGCCTGCAGCTTGCTGGCTGTTGAACTAGAGCAAATTTTCAGAAAGGACATGCACCCTCAGGAGCTGTTCTATTATTAGAGAGAAAGAGGCAGGTTCTGCCCTCCTTGCACACATCTCCTTGTATTGTTTTTCCCTAATAATCCTCCTGTGATCAATGACAGTTCTCAATGGAGAAGCATGGTGTGATATGAGTAAGGACATGGAATCTGGTCCTGAACAAAGCAGGGGGTTGCTGGAAGGCTGAGAGGAGGAACCCTTTCCTTTTATACAGTCCCTTTAATAAGAAAAACAAAGTTAGAGCAAT